TTAAACAACTACCTGGGAGAACTGAAAACACGGCCTGGATTTGGAATCGAGGTCCAGAGTTGAAGAACCCTGCTCTATAACTTGTACATGCATGGCTCTGGTACTCATGCATGTGAAAAGAATTGCCCAGCGCTTGCTGTGAGCCACACCGCCTCTGGTGCGTCGAGTGACTACATTCCAGGGACCAAAAACATCTAAACCCACATATGTGAATGGCGGGGATGGGCTTAGACGTTCCGGAGGGAGGTCGGCCATATTTTGGGCTTCAAGCTTCCCTCTCAACCTTCGGCAGGTGACACAGTGACGGAGGACTGAACCTATCAGCTTCTTGCCACCAACAATCCACAGGCCTGCTGCCCTGACTGCCCCTTCTGTGAATTGTCGCCCTTGATGTTCCACTTTCATGTGATAATGACTCACCAACAATTTTGCAACATGACTTTGTTTGGGGAGAATGACTGGGTTTTTTACCTGGAGGTCGATAGATGCATGTCTTAGACGTCCGCCAGTCCGCAAAAGGCCATCACACATAAAAGGATCAAGATCTAAGATTGCACTTGATCTTGAGATTGCTCTGTTCTCTTGTAGTGCAGCATACTCTTCTCGATAAGCATGCCTTTGAACAATCTCGAGTATAATTAGCTTTGCTGCTCCCAGCTCCTCTGGAGTATGAAGGTTTTTACACTGATGCCACCCCTTTACATGTCCCCGGCGAGCTTGCCCTGTATGAATGAATTTGGTGAATCAAGAAAGAAACTGCTCTCAGCAATGACTCCCAAGTAGAGAAACGCTGGAACCGGTCTGGGTTAAGGTTACCTTTACTTATGTAAGTAGCAAGAATGGTCAGCTGAGGTCTCACATCTACATCTGTTTCAGGATCCACCAGCTTAAATGGCTCATGTGTATCAGACCGAAGCGGGTTGTGGAGGAACTCTGGTCCTGTAAACCACATGGAGTTGGTAAGCTGTGATGCAGGCATGGACCTGGTGGCCAGAACAGCTGGATTTTGATCGGTAGATACGTAGTGCTACTGTTGAGGAGAAGTTGTCCTACGTATATGGTGAACACGATTATGCACGTATACAAAAAATTCATTATATATATATCCAAGGACGACTTTGCTGTCACAGTAAAAAAAAAAGGGATAGTGGGCTCCAGTTGAGGAGATAACTTTGCTCTTCCAAGCACAAAGCCAACCCTACACTGCCCATCTGTCATGATAACCCTCAGGTAAGCTACTGCCCCAATGGCCCAGTTAGAAGCTTCAGAAAAGAGACACAAGAGAGACTGCTGTATGTATGAACAGGGAAGGTGGAGATTACTCAAATCCTGCAGTGATTTTTTCCATACTTCCCACTTGTTTAACTTGTCTGTGGGAAGTTCGATATCCCAGTCATGAACATCGGCAGAAAGTTCTCTGAGCAGCGCTCGGCCCCGGATGGTCACTGGTACAACTAAGCCCAATGGGTCGAAGAGGCTATTGACAGTGGAAAGGACTCCATGGTGGGTGAATGGCTTGTTACTTACCGCTACTGAATGTAAAGGTATCAGAGTCCATGTTCCAGCATAAACCGAGGCTTCTTTGTACAGGCAGAGCTTCTTCGTTGAGGCCTAAGTCCTTTAGGCCTGCAGCCAGGTCCTCAGGTGTGAAAGCCTGCATCACTGTGATGCTATTTGAGGCAATTTTATGTAATTTAATAATCAATTCTGTCAGTGATGCTTGAGTGCGCTTGAGCAGATCGATAGCCTCAGCTTCATTTGGGAGGGAGATGAGCCCGTCATCCATGTAAAAGTGTCTCTCAACGAAGTGCCGTGAGTCAGATCCATATTTCTGTTCACCATTTTGGGCAGCTCTTCGAAGACCATATGTAGCCACTGCAGGTGAAGGGCTATTTCCAAACAGATGGACTCGCATGTGGTACTCTGCTACCTCTAGTCAGGTCATTATTTGTGTACCAGAGGAATCTTAAGTAATTCCGGTGATATTTTCTTACTAAGAAGCTGTAGAACATTTGTTGAATGTCAGCTGTTACTGCAACAAGCTCCTTTCTGAACCTAAGCAGTACTCCGAGAAGGGAGTTGGGGCCCGAAAGCAGTATGCCATTAAGAGAGATGTCGCCGCCTTGTGCGCTCAAGTCAAACACAACTCGAATCTGACCTGGCTTTTGGGGGTGGTACACCTCAAACATTGGTAAGTACCAACACTCCACATTGCCATGGAGGGGGGGGTGCTTCCTCTGCATGCCTGTTTTCAAAGAGCTTCTCCATAAAGGAAAGAAACTGTCCTTTCATTTCAGGATTTTTGTCCAATGTGCGTCGCAAAGAGTGGAGACGAGAGAGGGCTTGAGCACAGTTATTTGGAAGGTGTGGTCTGGGAGACCTGAATGGTAAGGGAGCAACCCAGTTGCTTTGTTCATCTTGGTGGACCTCTTGCTGCATGACCTTCAGAAAAGACTCATC